CACCAAGATGAAACTAAATTCTAATCTGCTTCCAAGAAATCCAGAGAATAAACCAATCTCAAAATAGGACAGTTTTAGCCGACATGATAAAGTTTCCTGTTTTAATGTTTACAAGGAAAATAACTTCAAAATGACTAATCCACTTTGGTTCTCTTTTTCTGCTGTCTTCAGCCCTTCACCATTTATAAGGCATGCTCCTCCGCTCAACTCATCAGAATACTTATTCTATTGCATAGAATGCAATGCTAAACAATTCCAGAATCATAAATAAAAGTCAATTAAGATCTTTAAACTAGGGCCAGCGAGATAGTAGATTAAGTGCCTGCTCAGGAAAGTGCAGGGACCGGGGTTTGATCCCCAGCACCACGTGCTGCACCGGCCCTGCCCTCAGAGCACTGAGTCAGCCACTGAGACTAGGCATGTTGGCACAGAGACCAAGCATGGTGGCACATGCCTATAACCCCAGAGCTGGGGAGGCTGAAACAGGAGGATCACTAGGAGTCTGAGCTGCATGAGACCCTATACCAAATACATAAAAAAATAAATAAATAAAAATTAAAAAAATCTTTAAATCTGCTTTATCTGAGTGTCCACTAGTAAAGCAAGGCTGCACTTAAGTGCTTTGCTGTCCAGGTGACAGAGGGTTTCTGAAGAGCCCAAAGACTTAACACTCTTAGAAGAAAAATACTGGTGTTTATTGCCTTGGACAGAGTAACTTTCTACTAACAGTGGAGTAAGTGGGAAATGAAGAGGGGAAAATGAGGAACAAGAAAAGCCAGAGTGATGTGGAATGACGGGTGAGGGGTACCCTGTGGTGGGACTTCTGTGTTGCTCACATGATCTTCTGGAGTCACAAGTTTTGTCGCCTCCCCTATTGACAAAAGCAGGAAAGCATGGGATCCAGGGTCAGACTTGCTTGTTGTCACAACTGGTGAACACACCACGAGCTCACACATCTCCTGTCTAGGACTTGCTTTCCTCCTGAGTCTGAAGAACACACCAGAACAGACAGTCTCAACTGTGCTTTCCACCTCTGACAACTATTCGGGTGCTGGAAAGCAAACAACTCTTGATGAGAAAATGGCTATAAAGCCAAGTACTAAGCAAGCGTAGGTCTTTGTTAAGGCAGAGGCACAGACTTACCAAACGAAGAGCCAGTGGCCCAGTGACTAGACCCTGCCTATTCTCAGCACCAGCTCCCCATCCACGTCTCCAGGTATCCCCTGATATGGCAGCTTATAGCACACCCAGCTACCCGTGCCATATTGTCACTAGCACATCCCTTCTCTTCCTGTCTCTTAAAGGCTTCTGGAAAGTGAGGTCAGAGGATGGACAAAATGCCTTCCGTGCCCCTCACGTGTGGCTGACACCCCAGTCTGAGTCAGGAGGAGCCACAACACCAGCAGGAGATTCTGTTGCTCACATTCTCACTTGGAATCCTATGCAGCTCAGGCTGCCATGAACGTTCAGTGGGCTCCTACCCTGTGCCAGCCTCTGTACAAAGCATCACACAGATAAAAGTAGGGGACATCCTTTGTGCCCTGAAAGGAAAGGCAGGCAAAACTAACAATGTTCACTGCCACTTAAACATGCACGCCTACAAATCTTATCTCCATGGCTCTGTACAAGCTGTTTTTTCTACCTACAATACACATACCCCTCCACCCACCTTTTTTCCTGCCCAGGGTCAAAAAGAGTTGGGGAAAAAAGAACCTCCCCAGCCCCTGGGTAACCCTGGGCAAGTTACTTGTCTGTAAATGCAAAAGAAGATATTGCCAGCATGTGGTATGTCTGTAATATCAGCAACTTGGGAGACTGCGGCAGATCACAAGTTTGAGGCCAGGCTGGCTAACTTAGCGAGACCCTGTCTCAAAATAGAAAAATAGAAGGGGCTGGGGATATACCACAAGTGGCACAGCAACCCTGGGTTTTACCCACAGTAGGAAAAACAAACAAAAAACAAAAACAAACAAGCAAACAAGAAAAAACGCCTCCAATTTCTGGTTCAAAATTTGAGTATTCCCTATAACATGACGCTCCTAGCAGCATGTTACTCTTGCCAGTGGCTGACAGGAGCCACCCAATCTCAAATCTGAACCTCCATAACCACAAATTCTCTTTCCCTCTCTTTATTTCATTTAAAAAAAAAGAAAGAAAAAGACAAGACCTATGGCTTGGGCTTTTTCCCTAAGAAAAGATTTATATAGTAATGGCATATAAAAGATCTTAGCAAAGTGCTGGCATTAGACAAATGTGTAATAAATAACTGCTTGGATGAAGGTCATTGATGAGAGATTGGCCCTTGGTGAGTATCCCCTTCTGTGAATTCCTACAATACAAAATAGCTGAACCATTCCTTTGGTTCTTTTCAAACATGGGCTTCAAACTGTTGCCAATTCCAATTCTCCTACTATGTGTTCATTGCTCTAACTGCAATTTAAACAATGATGACTCAAAAATACTTACTGAATGATTAGCCAGTGAACAGTAATGAAGATCTCAAACAGACATAATAAATTTCTAAACATATCATGAAACAACAGCAGCTGCCCTCCAATAGAAAGATGGAAGCGAGTCCTCCAGAAACAAACATTCTACCCTAGGGCAGCAGCTGCCTCAGAGACTCTATCACCCAGGTCACTGAAGAAATGAGCCCTGGCTAGTCAAACTAAAAGCCCAAAGCCAGCTAGGCAGGCCTGCAACTACCCCCACTCCCACCCCTAGCCTCCCCCAATGAACTTTCACACTCTCTCTGTTTCTGCCCCCAAATACTTGTATCATCAGGACAGGGTATGTGCCACACTGGCATAGTACAGAGGGCATGAGAGCAGCCCACAGCCACATTTTAAAGGAACCTCAGAACAGAGACCAATCCCAGCTTCTCATTCACTGGATAGGAGTAGAGGATATTCTTGATCATTACAGGCCAGTGCTACATTTTGTCAGAGCCCTTCCCCCTAGGTGATCTCCTTTGTGGGTGGGTCTCACCACTCTGTCTAGCTAACAGGAGACCCTCAGTTTCCACAGATATCTCCCACCTTCCATTTATCCTCACAAACTTTTTTTTTTTTTAGACAGGGTCTTGCCAAGTAGTTCAGGCTGGCCTTGAGCTCCCTATGTAGCCTATGATGGTCTTAAACTCACTGTAATCCTCCTACCTCAACCTCCCAAGTGCTGGGAATTATAGGCATGCACCACCCTAACCAGCTTCACCTTCACAAACTTCAACGCTTTCATTTTCCTTTGAGAAATTACGTTTTGCTTTTGTTTTTCTTTTTAAGACCATTACTCCCCATACCAGGAAAAGACCCTTTTTGGAAATGACAACTATCTTCCAGGAGCAGGTTGGGTCAGTATATGCATGTGTAATTCATAGGAAAATTCTGTGTTGCAATAGTTCAAACGTGAGTCAGCTGGAAGTTAATGTTTCTGTACTCTCGAGACAGAAAATTTTCTAGAATGAGTCTATCTGCAATCATTAAAGACCGCTGACAGTCTCAAAGTGGAAACCAACTGAGGGACTTTTATGATCCTCAGGCCTGCCATGTCCCAAAATTACCTCTCTGTAGCATTCTCCCTCCATGATCCTCATTCTTCCTCCCTCCTCCCCTGACTGTATGTTTTGACATCACTAAATAGTGTGAAGGGCTTCTCAGAGGTGTTCATGCAGATGACAAGACCAGAGAGCATATAGACAAATGTAAACCACAGGTAAAAGAGTTTATAAATTGAGTTTTAAAATTATTTTCCAGAGTCATATGGCTAAAAGACATACACATCATTTAATCTAGCCACTTCGGTAATCAATCAGTTAGCTTCTTAGGAGGGGAAGGGAGGCAGAGTTTGAAAACATCTCTACATGCATTTATTCTACTTTATCAATACCAACAGTATAGATGAGGAACAACAGCGCTAGTTCTCTTTTCTCTAGAAAGGTCTCTTCTCTAAGATGCCCTGAGTTCTCACTCAATGACCATTTCAGGTCGGGATTCATCTGTGCTAGTACCCAGCACATCATCAGGAAGTGGCTCTATTCAGGGACAGCAAATCAGAAAGAAATCACCATCATTGTGCCACACCCTTCCCAATCCCTTCCTGGGTTAGGCAGATACGTGACACTACAGGGCTCTTTAAATTGTAGGAAAAAAAAAGTAGATATGAAACTATGAAACAATACAGGTCTGATATACAGAGCTCACTAAATATTAATTACCATTATCACCATATTTCTTCAGCTCTAAGTTTTCAGCTTTTAAACATGTTAACATTTCTGTGCTACAGCACACACCTTAAAAATCTTTATACATTTAATGGTTTTCTTAGCCTACTATCCCAGTTGCTGTTATGAAATGAGCGGTGGATCTCACAATTAATGGTGTCCTGGAGTCAAGGAAATATGGTCTTAAGCCAGTGAATGGAACAAGAAACAAAGGAAAACCATAAAGCTGCCCTCGGTCGGGTCTCCACACCTTAAACTAAGGGTCTGAAAGGGCCTAAGGCCAAGGGGACGAGAGAGAAGGTCGGGGCCAGGACTAAGGAGCCCGGGCAGCGGGTCAGAGGGGCCTAGAAGGAAGACAGGAAAACTGGCCAGAAAAGGCATCCACCTCGAAGATACGAGTTAGGAAATCTCCGAGGGAGCTAGGGCAACTAGCCAAAGCGGGGGAGAAAGGTGGTCAGGGTGACAGGATGGCAGTTCCCTTTCTCCCCAACACTGATCCACAGCATTCGGGGAGTTTGGCAAGAAGACGACGCGGATCCCTGGGCCAGAGGAAGGGGCTGTCACGGGCAGGACTGAAGAAAGCCTTCAGGCGTCAGAAGAGCCCGAGGGGACAAAAGGGATGAACGGGGTGAGCAGAGGTCCGGGACGCAGACAGAGATGCGAGCCAAGAGGAAAACGAAAACAGACCAGAAGGATGCGAGCATGCGGACCCGCGCCGGGTGGGCGGGATCGGAAGCGGGAAGGTGGAGGGGCCCGCCGAGCGGCAGCCCCTGCTCCTCACCCTTGACGTCCTCGGCGAGCGCCTTCCATGTCGGCGCGAAAGCGATGCAGTGGCCGCACCAGGAGGCGAAGAACTCCACGGCCCAGGCGCTGCGGGAGTTGAGCACGGCTCCGCGTACCGTGTCCGCCTGCAGCAGCGTCACGGGGTCGGAGGACAAGTACAGCGCCCCGAGCCGGGCCGCGCCGGCGGCGGGCACCGCGAGCAGCAGAGGCAGGAGAGGCAGCAGCAGCGGCGGCGGAGGCCCCGATTGGCGGCCGCTCTTCGTCATCCTTCGCGGCCGCGCGACCGCACGCGAGTTCGTTACCAGTGGCCGCCGGAGCCCGCGGCACCTCTCGCCTCCTCCGCCCGCGAGGAGGAGCCAGGTGGCCCCGCCCCGGGCCCCAAGACTTCTCGGGCGCGGCCCGGGAGGTTGGCTTTGGCCGCGAGCTGGCGAGCGCCCCCTTGGCGGTCCGCCGAGGCCCAAGACTGCGCCCGCGGGAGCTGTGGAGGAGAGTAAGCCCCGCCCCGTTCCGGGAGCCCCGCCCACCCCCAACCTGCGCGGGGCCCGGCGAGCTGCGCCGCTGGGGAAGCGGGAGTCGGGGAGGTCGTTTGTCCTCTCGCGGCCCCCGTATTCGATGAAAGCCGAGCCCCTCGGAAAGAGTAACAGTTTGTACCAACATCAAGTTCCGAGGGTCCCAGCGTGCGGTGTGACGTTGCGAATTGGAAGTACGTGGGAAAGAAGGCACGTGGGAGTTCAGTCCTCGAGTCGGTGACTGCCACGTTGATACGAGGATCAGATGCATTCACCCCGTGACTGAGTCATTATTTGAGGGTTTGCTAGTCATGGATAAGGCATGAGCATGAGCCGGGGTGGACTGCCATGGAATCAGTGTTTTTTTAGCAGCCTTGCCCGGCCCCCCTCATAAAGTTGGGTGACCCTCATTCAGTGTGAGTTACAGCATCCCGCGCCGCCCACATCTGACTTGTCCGCCCCCTGACACTTTTCCTGATTCAGATGTTCCTCTCACAAGGAACCGAATTGACTAATCTTGTGCTTCTAAATTGGAGAAGGCCTTAATGGATTTTCCGTGGTTACCTTGTGTAGCTCCAGTATATTTTGGTTTATTTAAAGAGGTTTCTCCAGAGAGCTGTCACAGTGACCTTTTTTTCCATTGTGTCTAGTGGGTTAGCCCATGTCACCTACAAAACTCCCAGAGGCTAAGGATAGGTGGTGAACAAATCCTCTAGGACTGGAACTTATGTTATAGTGGGGATAAGCAGATGATACATAATTAAATGTAGAGCCCGCGATGACAAAAGCAGTGGGGGAGTAATGGGCTAAGAGCAGAGTGACCAACCGAGGCCTACTTTAGACAATCAGGGACAGGCCCACTGTCAGTATTTACAGGAACCGAGTCAGTAGTACAAGTGAAAGCCCACATTGCCTATGTTTACATATTTTAAAACTATAAACCAAAGTAAACTATTACATAAAATCCCTACCCTTATATCTTGATGTGTACACCTTCATAATAACCTGGAAGGCTAAATTTAAGTTTAGAATTAAGTTTATGTTATAACCTATGTAACCGTCTCCATTTTTGTAACTAGAACAGCTGTTTTGTTAAACAACTCTGTACGTTTCTGTTATAACCTATGTGATTGACTCCGTTTTGTAACCAGAATAGCCATTCTATTATACACCTCTGTATGTTTCCACTGTAACTTTATTAACGAGGACTGTTTGGCATAAACTGACAACTTAGACTTCATCTTTGTGGTACAAGCCGTCCCTCTGGCCTCTGAACACAGTTTTGCTAATGTTCAAAATATTCCTTTGTTCTGAGCCACCGATTGTTAAAAGCAGTCTTCACAAAGTTTCCTGTGATCAGTCTTATATCCTAACTTTCTGTTCTAAAGATAACTCCCCGTTCACCATATTTCTTGTGATCAGCCCCATATCTTAAGGAAATAACTCTCTGTTCTAAGGATAACTCCCCGTTCCCAAAATTATCTCGATACCTTTTTGTGACATCCTGTGATCAACACCATGCCAAAAGAATTAATTCTTTGTTCCTAAAAATTGTAACCGCATGTTAAAAGAATGTAACCTGTTTTCCGTAAGTGGACGCTGACCCCAGTGCTGCATTCCCTCGCATTCATCACCCCCCTTTGTGGTTTTCAGCTATAAAAACCCTTATCTCTCCCCCCCTCCGCGCACACATACTTGGAGAGGAGAGTACATGCTGCCTCTGAGCTCAGCTAAATAAAGCGCTTTTAAGTTGAGTCCGGTTTTTGATTTTTGGGTTACAACAGTTTAGATCTCAGAATCTCTTTTGAGATATGTATTGGAATGTGACAGCTTTAGGAGAAACTGATTCCTGACCTTCAACCTTCCTCCTCATTGCTCCAGTGTGGGATAAAAGCATCCTAATCAGAGGTCTTGCAGTCTGACTTTCGCTTTTTCGTATGGTCCAAGCTGTATTCCATACTCTCAAGGGCCTTGTGTGCAGGCATCCTGTCACATCTGTTTGCTGAGCTTTGTCCCCACTACATACAGATGGCCTGTCCTTGGCTATTGCTTGGTTCCTCAAGAGGACAGACCTTGAGGAAAAGGCCAGTACAGGCTGCTTCCCTGACGTTGGCCTCTGGCCCTGGAGAACAGGGAGATCTAGTATTCCAGGTGCCCAAGGATGACCTAAGAAGGGATGGGGGTAGGAGCTTTGGACGGGCACGTTCTCCTTGGCCCATGGGCTCCAGCATTGTGAAAACAGGCCTGAGTAGGATTGGACAACCCCAGTGTTAGGGCTCATCATGCTCCAAATTTAAGAGAGTTCTGATGATGCCGTATTTGAGGAAAAGACTCAAATAAATCATAGGAGAGGGGCTGGGGAGATGGTTCAGTAGAATAACTCAGGCACAAGGGCCTGAGTTCAATTCCCAGTTCTGCCAAAAAAAAAAAAAAAAAAAAAAAAAAATCATGGGAGAGAAACTTGCAGCAGTGTGGGCTAAGAGCATACTCAGCAGAGGTCTTGTGGTCTGACTTTTGCTTTTTAATATGTTCATAAATCTCTACCCAAAGTCTTACGCCACTGTTATGGTTTGTATCTAGATGTCTCCCCAAGGCCTCATGCAGTCATGGGGTGGGTGCTTGGAGTCTGTGGTTGACTCATGATCCAAAACTGGGATTATGGGTGTGAGTGCTCCACTTGCTCTGGAGCCAGTAGTCTGCACACAGTGTAAGGGAGGAAAAGAGGTTTGTTCTTAGCTGCTCCTGCCTTTTTGCTCTCATTGTTGCTTTTGCTGTTTTCCATCACCATGAACTGCTGCCCTCTGCCATGTGCCACCTTGCCTTACAGCCAGCTGAGTATGGACTGAAACCTCCACAAACTGAGCAAAATAAACCTTTCCTTCCTTAATTCTAGATGTCGGGTATTTTTTCCCCTCAACAAGAGAAAAGTAACCAAGACAACTGCATAAAGAAATTATAATAACATTGGGATGTTAGAAGTCCATAACACCTCTCACCCCAGAAGCCAATTCTAGTTGCTTAGTACTCCTGGGATTTGGTCCCTACTGTATAGCTTCTGATGCTCCACTTCATTCCCGCAGCTACTGGGGCCAGGCCAAAGAATGTCATAAGAATGGATGGTGCTAGTAATTTTGGGTTCTAGGGGGTTGGAAATATTCCAGGAGTTGGAAGCTCTGCAGAAGCTGGATCAGGTGCCAGTAAAATTACCTTCAGATATCTCTATTGTTAAACAGTGCTATAGTTACCTTCCTCAGGGGCCTGGGAAGTAAGGAGAGATTGTCTACTAAACAGGCTGAGCGCCTGGGAAAGACACTTCAGATAAGTACAAACACACTTCAGATAAGTACACACAGCTTTGCTTGTTCACATGTCTCTTTGTGAACTACATCAGAAACGAAAAAGAATGCAGACTATCTAAATGGAGCAAATTCCTTGGCAGAAGGGCCAAAGAAGATTAGGACTAACTGTAAAGTCTGAAGGCTTTCAATGTGTCATCAGAACAAGGATTTAAGTTCTTAAAATCTTGGAAGCCTTTATTAGTCTTGAAAGGAAGTTTAAACAGATCAGAGCAGAAGGGTGCCCTGGAACATCACCCACTTTCTGTAGTATATAGGCTTTTTGGGAACTCCAAACCACAGTTAGAAAAACACTGGTTTAGAATTAGCAGAAAACATAAGATTCACAGCCTGTTCTGATTACGCTCCCTGGAACTTTCTGGGATGAACATGTGATAGCAAAGGAAATCTACTTAGGAATGAGGTATAGAGGAGGGTAGGTTGCCAAGGAATGCCTTGAGGTTGGGAAGAAGAACTTAGAATTTTCTGCCCAGGCCCTTTTCTCCCTTCCTATCCACAAGTCACGAGAAAAAATAGACCAAAATGATTCAGATGAGAAAACTAACAGTATTTGCACTGCCATTCTAAGCATTACAGATGCTGCTGATGTAGTCCCCTCGCCAACTCTGGGCCTTGATATTATCCCACCTTACAGAAAAAGAGACTGAGGTAGAAGCCTGGGGACTTTCCCACCTGTGAATCAGTTATGTGTTACACATGAGTAAAGGAGAGGGAATTTGGAACTCTGCCACCCCAAAATGAGACAAATGGTGAGAGGAATGCAGCTCATACAAATACAGATAATTATGGTGAGCAACAGGAGTATTTGGTAAAACATGTCACCTGGTAGCAGGGCATTAGATGACTTTCCACTTACTCATTTACACCGAGAACCAGACAGGGCGTGTGCCTTTGGAGACAGGTGCGAGCAACAGAGAAGGCACCTGTGCTTTGTTCTTCAAACCTCACCTCTGAGTCTTCCAGATAAACTTTTGCCTTAGCCCCTTTTCCGTTGCTAATAACATGGTACCATAAGCTGGGTGAGTTATAAAGAAAAGGGGTTTATTTGGACCAGCAGTGCCAGGCTGAGTGGCATATGCCTTTAAGCTCAGCTATTTGAGAGGCTGAGGCAGGCAGCTTGCAGGTATGAAGCCTGTCAGGGCAATTTAGCAAGACCCCGTCTCAAAAGGGTTGACGATATAGCTAGTGGTAGAGCACTTGCCTAGCATGTATAAGGCTCTGGATTTGATCCCCAGAATAGTAAAAATAAAAATGGGGTGGGAAGAAGGGATATTTTGGCTTATGGTTGTGGGGGGTTGATATCCAAGGGCCTTGTCTGGTGATGACCTTGCTGTCAGAGTCCTATGCCCATGGCAGGAATCATGGCAGGAAGGAGACACCACACATGGAACATGCTCATTTGGTCTCTCCCTCTCCTTGTAAAGCCATCAGGATTCATCATGGGCCACCCTAATACTTTATCTAATATGAACCACCTGCAATAGGCCCCATCTGTGAACACTGTTGTCTGATTAAGTTTCCACTCTCAGTATTTCACAATGGGGGTTAAATTTCTTTCCTCCCTTCGTCCCTCCCTCCCCCCTCCCTCCCT